AACTGTGCGCTCCGATACGCATAAATTCAACAAACTTGGTGATCAATTTATATTTAATATTCTCTGAAAACTCTTGTAACATATAATACTTCTTCGTCTATCAGTAAACGGTTGTCAGCCAATATTGACTGTGTCTACACACGAAATTTCACAATTTTCATAACACTTTTTGAATATTGTGCTTAAAATACGAACCTGGTAACTGGACAAAAAGCGATAATGTTAAACGTTTAATATCGTTAAATAAACGGTAATGCTTGAATAAGCTGGAGCAAAAGTTGTCGGGAGCAAAAGTTTCCTATCTGGAATATCTCCATCGATTCCCAGCTAATAAGTATGGTGCCAACACAGCTTTCCATTTGGAAGTGGAGAACTGTGCAAAAAATTTAAGGTTAAAGCGACGGAGGAATAACTGCAATTGGAAAACTGCTTGAAGGTAAAATTGCCAACAGTTCTTTGTCAATGATACATGAATGACTTAATGACACGTTGAACGCACTAGGAGAATATAGACTTGGACTAAACTGGAAAAACTTGTATTTTCTTGGAAGTAGTTTGCACAACGCAACATCAGAGTTGCAATATTACCTTTTCACTTAAACTTCGGCAAATAAACCTTAGATAGAAGAAGCAATATTAACATCACATAATTAAGAATTACAAAACATCACGTAAAGCTATGCTCCAAAATGTCGTCAAAAGATGAAGTCCAAACACACCAATTTGGAGAAAAAAGAGGAAGATTGTTATCCTGTTTTGTGCAGCGTTTACATATATCCTTCAAGAATTGCTTTTACGTTACAAGGATTAGCGCCTTTGTGAAGCGCATGTTGATAATTCGATAATTTGAATTTGATAATTTAACACGTTGATAATTTGAATGGTTTTCAAATGTTAGTCACAATCCAGCTTAGTATATACGAATTAGTACATTATAAACATCCATTTATTAATCATTATATTTTTCTTTAACACGAAACTTCCTCGCGTTTATTCACGACACGAAGTACCTCTAAGGAAATCTATTGGACATCAGCTTTAATCGCAGAAATCAGGGCTCCATCATCAAGTGATCATCGATACGTTTTACAAGGAGACCGGAAGATTCGTCTAATAAAAATTCATCCCTAAGCTTATTAAATTAACCGGTTAAGAACTGGACACATAGGATGTAGCAAATAAGAAAAATAAGCAGCACCGATTGTAAATGAACAAGATTGTTGATAAAGCTGGCAGCCGACATGAATCTTGGCTCTGGAAAGTTCGAGAAAACCAATTTGCTTCCAGGCTGGTAAGGATATAACTATAATATACAAGGCATTATTAGATGAAGTTTAACTGATGACTACTGATGAGGAGGAGAAATGGCGAAGGAATTTTTAGAAATTGGGGAAGTGTGCTCGTACATGTTTCCGCATAATCTTGGCTTTTTAAATATTTTTTATATATGCCACCTGGGTTTGCAGATTTCTTGGATTCAAATGATTTGAAAGAGCTTTTACACTGCAAAACCAGCCAGTAATGTATCTAAGTCTGTCCCGAAGAAATAATCTCGCTTTTGAAGAGGCTTCGTTTACGCTCAAACCGAAGGCTACTCATCGAAAGGCTAATTACAGGCTGAAATACGAGAACATTTACCCACAACAGGCTTTAACGTGTTCAGCATGCTATGAAGCGCACTCACAAAGCTCTTACATGTTTGTCATCAGGAATGCATCAGTTGTGTGTCGAAGTGGTCTTGTATCACTTATAGAATGGGTAGAAATCTTACTGTATCTCCCTCAGCTGCATGCATTTTATTGTACCAAAACTTATAAACGCATGATAGTTTCAAATTTGCGGTGTGCGTGTTACGTGCAAAATTAAATGCATTGATTGGTATGGGACCTTAAATTTCAGACCGGGCTGGTTGGTCAACGTTGCGAGGATGACATCAGCGCTCCATGAGGGAGAAGGGACATTTAGGGATGGGAAGATGTGGGGCGATGGGGGGGGGGAGGGGAGAGGAGGTCAACCTGGAGAACATCCTTGGTAGGACGTTATTGTTATTCTGGGCATTCATCGTCCAAATTTGCTCTGTTCATATTTTTGGAAAAAGTGCTAATCGTCGTAGTTTTGCCACGGTCTAATAGTCACTTGTTCTCCGGGTGCTCTTATTTCAGGGTGATCCATTCGTATGCTTTGGTACACAACTGAAGAGCATAAAATGGTAAAAGTGCATTCTTGAGCTGTTCCTTTGGTATTCTTTGTAAAACCCCGTTACCTTTTACCTCTTCACGGTGCCTCCCAATGTTCAACTCTCTGGCACCCATTCTTTTTCCTCATCCATTTTTAGATATTTTCAAGACCGAATGATCTGGAATTGTTAGTAATTTAGTGAGAGAATGAAAAGCTAAGAAAAAATATCATCATGGCAATCGCTTATTCTCCTTGACGACCATACATTACGTTGACTTTCCTGTTTGACATGACGCAGTGCTAACTTTTAGTTTACTTTCAGTTACCGATTGTCACGATACAGTACAATTTGATCCCGTTTATAGATAACGATCATGTCCGTAAGTTTCCTTTCCCCTTTTTTTTTTTTCCGCACTGAAAAGGAACTAAAAATATATTATGATTTGCGTGTTGAAGTTTTGATAGAATAACTAAGAAAAATTGGGATAAAGTAAGCAATAACGTTTGGCAAGAGAAATGAGACAGAATAGGATATTTGCAAGTAAATAAAATGTTAATGCTAGAGAAGGTAATAGAGTTAGTTGAGGAATCGCGGGAAGGGATGAAGAAGAAAAGGATCAATCGCTTGATAATTGCTCATTCCAAAGAAAGCGATGTATGTATGTTCTTTAGTCACTGTGTTCAACGGTCCTCCCCTTTGACCTCCCGTTCCATGATGATACTGTTTGAAAAAAAACCCACATCATTGCTACCGTAATAAGTAGTAGTGGTAGCACATAGTGATTGATAACGAGTATAACGTTTCTCTAATATGAAGAGAAATGCGAATGACTGTACACTTATTCAAACGACGAAAAGGGTACGAGAGGAGGTATGTGTGCTTGTTAACCTATTAGGTGTATTCTAATCTTTCTTGAGTTACCTTCCTTTTTTTATTTGTTAATAAATGCTATACGTTGGATGATTATATGTATATATACTATATATATATATATATATATATATATATATATATATATATATATATATATATATATATATATATATATATATATATATATATAGTATATATAT